AATGAGCTTGATGCCAACCCACTATTTAATTCATTGAGGAGATGAACACAGTAAAGCACCCAATGTTTACATGGACACTTGAACGATATCAAAAGAGACAATGTTTTATTAACGGCTAATTTGATCTGCCTGATAATAAGAAATATGAACTTCCACAGGATTTACTATACTCAGACAGAATCGACCAACATATGGAAGTTTTAGATCGTCAGATTTCATTGTTGTCGAAGGAAAAGTTTAAATATCCAATGTCTAATGAAAAGTGAGCCCTGAAAAAATTGCAAAAATATATGGAATTCTGATAATTATAACAACAACCAGGATCAACTCTGTATGAGAAACTCGAGCCATATTTTAAACGCTTAGACACGGAAAATAGACAACTTACTCTGAAAAATCAAGAAAGAAGAAAGAACAACAATTATCTTACTATTGCAAGGCCTTAAGACCCCAAGATGCTCGCTGAATGATATTGAAATCGGGTCGTCCACTATAAGCACCGATATATCCACTATCCTATCCATAATTAGCTCGACTGTTAACGAGAACGCTGGCGGCAATAATGACCGGAACAGCCACAAGGAAGGGTCCATTGTGCTTTTAGGGAGACTTAAGGACATCGTATATCTTGGCCAGGGATAGTGCTTTTATACATTATCAATCGATAATAAGCGCAATAGGCTACACTTTGTTAGTTGATACAACGAACACTGTCGACAGTTGTTTACACGCGCCATTATTTCAATCATAGGAGTGTACAGACATGTGTCGATTATCGGAAGCAATCGTTATCGATACTTTTCTTTATTTTGAAATGTTCAATGCGTTTCATAAATATTGTCTATAAGTAATATTTTATTTATTTACTCGTATTCACTGATTTTCTTTCTGTTGCAGTTCTTAGCCTGCTCTGGTTAGTCGTCCATCTCCTACCGCTTACAAATGGGGACCTTTTTACTGATTGCGATCATGTGATACACATCAAAGAAGGTTATTCCTTTTTGGAATCACCTTACTTCCCAGACACATATCCTCCGCACTCGTCGTGTCGGTATAAAATCGTAGCACCATTAGATTACGAAATCTCGGTTAATTGTACCTTACACATAGACCAGGTATGAAAACGGTCATGCACATAGTGGCCACTATTTAAGAAGAACTTCAGTTTACTACGGCACTGTTCAGCATAAAGCCGGCTTTCAGTACACTAATAAGAGCTATCCTTTCAGGGTTACAAGGGTTGCTCTACTGAGTTTCTCTACTTCGGACACGATGGTGATATACATTTACGTGATTCAGAACAGTTTTGTGGGCGCGGTTCTTTTCTACGTCGATCTCTTTACCGTTCAGTCGTGCTCGCTTATGTGTCATACGGATCGTGGGGACGGTTTCAATGTCAGTTGTTTGCTACACCGCAACCTTGCGATTGCGGTTGGTCCATTAATACACGTGTCGTGAACGGAAAAGAGGCCAGAATTAATGAATACCCGAATGTGGTTGCTTTAAAAGATGTTACAAGTATGCAGGCTTCCTTTTGCGTGGGAACGATAAGTATATGTGAAATTATCAAAATTCCTTCATCAAAATAAAAATGTGTTTCAAATACCTTTTAGTAAGCCATCGATGTGTTCTGACAGCGGCCCACTGTATTGATCACCAACCACGGGCTGCTAATCTAATTATCTTGGCTGGCGACCATTATATTCAGAGAAGTAAATTGTGCTTCCTCTTCACTTCAAATATTTCACTTCCAATTCAATTCTAGCTGAAGAAACTAAGTATTCTGCTCAGTATAGCGTACAAGAAATCATCAGACATCCTGAATATCAAGCAAATACTGTACAAAATGACATAGCTTTATTGATAACTACCGTCGATATCGAGTGGTCTCGTGGTGTCGGTCCTATTTGTTTACCGTCCTTCGCAGCGAAGTAAAAAATTTTGACAAAAATTTTAAAAATTACTGTTGAACGACTTGATCTTGATTTTGCAGAGATTTGTCTTTTGCCTTGAAGTACGTTGACATTGTCGGTTGGGGTACTCTTCATTTCGCTGGTGCTATGTCGGATACGTTGCAAAAGATCACTTTAATGGTGATAGAAAATGAACCCTGTCAAAAAGCCTATGAAAACATTTCTACGATTTCTTCTTCGCAAATGTGTACTTTCGATTATACAGGAAATAATCGCGACTCCTGTCAATATGATTCTGGGGGTCCACTAATATTGCGTCAAGATCGTCAGTTTTTATTGGGTTTGGTAAGTTTCGGAACCGATTGTGGTGCGGAAAAGTATTCGGTCGGTGTTAATACGCGGGTTGGCTTTTTTTTGCCATGGATTTATAAATACGCAGGTCGCAGTATATGCCCAATCAATATGAACTTAAAGCGCATTTAAGATAAGGAACAACACTGAAATATAATATGATTCCGCTCATATCCATTATCATAAAATAAAAGCGTAATAATTTTGTCATAATCCTTATAATACTTTGGAAT